AACTGAGTGAACTTGTCATAAATTTGTAAATCTTTTTAATTGTTTTTCTATAACTTGCTTATCCATGTCCTTTCCTCCTTTCTGTAGCATTGTTCTCTCCCTCTTTTTTTTTTCTTTGAGAGGATACACTGGACAATACTTTTGTTGTTGTCATTTATCATTAATATTTAAACAACATTTTTCTTTTAATCTCATTCCACTGAAATGTGTAATGTTTGTTTTGTTCAGGAAAAAAATGTAAAACCTTTTGCAGTGAAAATATCACACTAACATGTATACTTCTTCTCTAACATAACTATGCACAACTACAAAGCCTTCAGGACTAAATTTTGGCTTCATCTGTAGCCACCAGCAGTTTACCACCAAGGCGAGGGAGCGCCAGGGTTCATCTTTTAAACTCTCTAAGTTTGTTTTCAGTCTCCTGCACTCCATTTAACTTAGAGAAGAAGCTCAGGTTACAGAAGTCTGCAGGCATGTCACATCTTGGCAGTGTTCTGTTCCTGTCCCCACCGCAGCCGACCTCTTCCCTGCAGTGCTCCCACTCACCGTAGCAGCCTTTAATCTTTTCAGACATGCAAGTTACCCATAATATCTGTCCCCACAGATTCCTCTCCAGATATCTACTCTAAATATCACCTTCTGATGAATTAGGGACCATCTGTGCTTTATCTTCGTATTTCTGATATGTAAATAATCCTGACACAAACATCATTCTCTCCTTTCGTTTGCTTCCCAGAGACAGTGGGGTTGGACTGGAACTGCTCTAAGGCTGGAACTCAAAATACAAATTCAGTGTGGTTGACTACGAAAATGTTTATTTGAGAATTTGGCTTTTGAACTAGTGTTTCAATATCATATTCTTGTTTTAATATGAGAACATGCAGTGATGAGAATCCTAAATTCATCAACACAATATATGCACTGATTCATTCCCAATTCATGACATAGGTCTCCTGTATGCTCATAATGGGAGACTTCACTGCAAGAGAAGGAAGAGAAGACTAGTGGAGTTGATTTTCTTTCAGGTTTTCTGCTCAGGATGCTCTTCATTGTGACACAGCTGTGTATCTCAAGAAGGCCTATCTTTACTAGAAGATTTTAAGAATACAGATTGGCCTTAATAGCACACATTAAAATATTACCTATACTTCTGAGTCATAGCTGAGTAGCCGAATAGGCTGAAATTAATAAATGACCATGAGAAACATTTTTTTGATATAAAGTAGACAGTGTTAATTTGGGGTATGCTTAAATAAAATCTGAAGTAAGACCTCTGCTTTTCAATTTACTGTTACATAATTTCTATAGTATTTATGAATATCTGTCCATGTGAATATAACAATTCATATTTTAAAGGGAGGCTTCTCTCTTCATACATATATATATATGTATATATATATGAATACAGATATATTTTATAAACTTTTGATAAACATAGACAGTGAACTGATTACCACAGTAAATCAAATTAATGTATTCTTCTCTTCACACATTTACTTTTTCTGCATATGGGAAAGCATCTAATTGTCTTTTGTAGTGATTTTTTGGAAAAATTATTAAGCATAAAACTAATATTAATGAGTTAGCCACTTCCTCATGACAGTATCAAACTACTCAAGTATTTTGATCAGTATCAAAATACCTAAAGGTAGAATGATTTAGTTTTGGTTTTTCGGTGATTCAGAAAGGTCTGATGGGGAAAACTTTTTAAAGCACAGCAGCCAGAGAGCAGACAGTGAGGGAGGAGTGCTAGAGAATATACAAGATATCCTCCAAGTCACCCTCCAGTGACCTGTCTCTTCCACGTCTTTCATCTAGGGTCACCTCCTTCCTGACACCACATCAGGCTTCGTTTCACGAGTGGATTAATTCATTAGTGAGCATAGCACCTGCATCATCCAATCACCTTCCAGAAACCAACTCTCTGAACACATGAGCATTTGGTGGGATATTCTAGATTTAAACCATAGAAAACATACATGACAGCCATAGAATTAGTCAACCTAAACATAACCACAAGCTTGAATCCTGCATCTACTTTTAAATCTATATTTCCCTACACCTACCTTCATCACAACCAAAAATATCATTATACTGTGTCTATATGTTTAATGATTCAAAGATTCCATATATAAATGAGATTATGAATTATTTCTCTTTCTGTGCCATGCTTATTACACCTCACATATTTTCCTCCAGATTTAGCTCATATGTTGTCACAAGCGTACGAGTTTCTTTGAAAAGCTAAGAAATATTCCAGTGTGCACGTGTATATCACCACACTGCTTTATCCATTCACTTGCCAAAGGACACTTAACTGAATACATATCTGACTGTGACTAACGCTGCAGTGAATATGAGAAGGCAGGCACCTAAGAGGAATTAACATCAGTGTCTGTGGAAGCAGGTAGGATTCTGTGTCAACTGCTTATTCTGAATTAAATTTAGTTAACTTCATGTGGTTTTCTAATAATGGTTGCAATAATCTCTATTTTCAACCAAGAGCATACAAAGCACCTTTCCTGTATACCCTTGCTAAAATGTCTCTGTCTTTGTGATAATGACCATCCCAGCAGGTGTGTGGTGATGTTTCACCATGATTTTCACTTGAATTTTCCTGGTATTAGTGATGTGAAGCAGCGTGTAACAACCACACTGAACTACAACTAGAATATCCCAGAACCTTTTCAGATCTTTACTAAGAAGACCTTTTTTTCCCTCAAATTTCAAGCTGTCACATTAACATAGAAATATTCTTTCAGAGTACATTCTGGGAAATCCCATGACTTCCAACTTAACTCTCAGCTATGACAACCCCAAATCTTTTATATGTTCTGCATTATTTCTTTAGTGCCGTTCACCTAGTAAACAATAACAACCAAAACCTGTGGATAATTCTGTGTAGTGTATGTAAACAGCCAGACTTAGCTTCCTTTTGAAGCTATCCAAACAGATAACTAAGCTTAGCTTAGGGGCTACGTCAGCTATTTATTTTTAAGGCTCTACTGCCTTCAACATTTTAAAAAGTGCATTTAAAATGACTTCATTTTAAAAGAAATCTACTTTTATGAAAATAAAATAGGCATCCATTGTATTTTGATATTCTTCAGATGAAAGATCAGGATTCCTGTTTGGTGCAGACCTGACCACATGAGTAGTAATGAATTGGATGAGGAGTAACCCAGCTCTGCGATGCCTGCAAAGTCACCAATGAACACTCGCGCTAATCATAAGTAATGACAAGCCTTTTATAAAAAAAACAAAGCTCAGCTGTTTTATATAAGAATAATTTGCTGAGAGCAATCACAGTGTTGATTTTTTAGTCACCCATGAAGAAATGGTAACTTTCTTAAAATAAGAATTTAGCAGTCCTGTGCATTTAAATACAAACAAGTCAACAAAGCATATATTCTGAATATAAAAATACGCAAATATGAAATAGAAAACAGAAAAAGGTGAAAATGGTATGCATTTTTACAGTTCCTTGGGAAAATATTTAATGTCACTTGTGACATCAGACTAAGAATTTTAGAGTAGGCACTTTTTTTATTGTTTTCTCACAAGGAAAATCATCTACCACTCTGCTTACAGTCTTAACCTCCATATGGAAATAACATATGAAAGCCAGATATGATTTAATTATTCCATAGTCTGCCTGCCCTCTAAGCTGAAGTATCTTTAAGATAAAATGACACAAACCTGAAAAAATTATGACTTTATATTGCTAGCTTCTTCCACAGAAGAGAGAATAATAGCCTCCATGTTCCTACTCATTTACTCTTGTATTCAAAAGATTTATCAAAGCTTTATAAATGGCTTTTAAATTACATCACTCTAGAGAACACATTCAAACTAAAAGGTTTTTTGAAATTTTCATTGGCATTCTCCACTCAGAAATATCTTTTTAATTGTCCATTTTTAAAAAACCAGTCTGAGGGGCTGAGGATTTAGCTCAGCAGCATAAGCGCCTGCCTTGCAAGCAGGCAGTGGTGAGTTTGATCCCTGGTACCAATAAAAATGAAAAAGACAAAAAAAAAATCAGTATGAGTTCTGTTCTCTTTCAGGTCAATTACTTCTCAATTAAAAGACCTTGAAAGTCAGTTCTAACTTTGTCCCAGACTACTCTGTTCCAAAATGGAGTCACTTGCCTCTCATCTACAGTAAGCTGAAAGGTATTCTCCTTCCCAGCAAAAAGGTCTTTCACATTATTGTCTGGATCAAAAATAGCAACAATAATAATAATGTAACAAGAATCCTTAGACAATGTTGTGCATTCTCCTAGAATAGCATCGACTTTCAAAGCAGAGTCACTTTCTTATATTTCATATTTAACTAAATAGTCTGAGAACATGAAGTAGAAAGTATTCCAGAATAAGGGGTAGACTTGAAATTGGAGGACTAGTGGTCTAGTCTCAGCTATTTAATTAAAGAGCTGTAGCACTGCTGAGTACTTTATTGACCTCTTTCAACTTCAGTATCTCACCTATAAAAAAATCCATGTGCTGACAGCCTAGTATTTGTGATTTCAACTGTATGGAATATATACAAAGTCTCTGAGTAAAAGCTATATTATGTTAATACCTGTAATATGGGTAGCATTGGATAGATTATGAAGTATGCATTGGATAGATTTTGCAGTGATATCTATGTCTGTGAAACATCACCATTAGGAAAACACACATTGCCCAGTGTACGATGGGAAGCACAGAGTGGAGATAAATCACCTGGTTCAATCGTGGTTGTAAGTTGCATAGGAATGGTCCTGTGCCAATGCTGCAATGTCCACCCAGATTGTCTTTATTAATTCATATGAAGAAACATCTGTTATTTTAGAGGAAAAGATCGTAGTGATAATAAAAAAGAAAAGGAAGAAAATTATTTTCCAAACATGACTTGTAAACAGGAAAGTTTGTAGAGGAGAAATTGTGGAACTGGCAAGGGAAGAAATAAAACCTACTGTAAAAATTTAGAAACTAAAGCAAGGTTCAAATTTCCTCCTTCAGATAATAAAGAAATATAAGAAAGCTGCCACTAAATTATTTTAAGTAAGGATAATCTCTCCACAACTTCACAGACATATTGAATTTGATCAAAACTTTCCTTTCCTCAAGGTTTTTATCAGGGCAACTTTAACATCTTTATTCCTTAAACTATAGATTAAAGGGTTCATCATAGGAACCACAATAGTGTAGAAAACAGAAGAGATTTTTCCCTCATCCATAGACCCAGCAGAGGATGGTTTGAGATACATGAACGCACCTGATCCAAAGAACAGAGAAACTGCAACTATGTGGGCGCTGCAGGTGCTGAAGGCTTTGGACCTGCCCCCGGTGGAGCTTAGCTGAAAGATGTTGCAGAGGATGAAACCATAAGAGATGAAGATGGTGACACTGGGCACAATGATGTTGATCCCCACCACAATGAAAACCTCTAACTCATTGATGTAGGTGCTGGTGCAGGAGAGCTCAAGCAGAGGGAAAATGTCACAGAAATAGTGGTTGATGGTGTTTGCATCACAGAAGGTCAGCCTCAGCATGCATCCTGTGTGGGCCATGGCACCAGAAAACGCCATCAGGTAGGAGCCAAGCATAAGGCTGAGACACACTCTGGGGGACATGGCCATGTTATATAGAAGTGGGTTACAGATGGCTGCATAGCGGTCATAGGCCATTGAGGTCAGCATGTAACATTCAGAAATGATAAAGAAACTGAAAAAGTACAGCTGGGCCATGCACCCTCTGTAAGAGATCACATTCTTTTCTGATATGAAGTTCATTAACATTTTAGGTGTAAACACAGAAGAATAACAGAGATCAATAAAGGACAAGTTGAAGAGGAAAAAGTACATGGGTGTGTGCAGGTGTGTGTTCAGCCCAATTAGAGTTACCAAACCCAAATTCCCCATCACAGTTACCATGAATATCACTAGGAAAAGGAAGAAGAGGGGAAGTTGGAGGTCAGGCTTGTCTGTCAATCCCATCAGAACAAATTCATTCACCAAAGAGCCATTTTCAGGTGCCATTCTTCTCTGAGACAGCCTGTGGGCAGAGAAAAGCAGGTTCCATCAGACGTCATCTAACTTGTCCAACGATATGTGAGGAATGTCTGGAAATAACAAACCCACCTATAAAGGACTCGCCTTTAATGTCACCATGATAAAAGCAACACTTGTCTTCTTCTTACAGCTTAAACACCTAATCATAGTGAAGAGCATTACCAACTTAGCCAGGGAGCTGAGGTCAGCACTGCTACAAGGAAACATGATTGCCAGATAAATCAAGCAAGAAGGGAGAAAAGTGCTAGGTTATATAAGTATATAATTGCCTTCCTCTCATATTATCATTTCTTTCCTTGCCTGGAATCTTCCTTTACAAGAACTGGAGGCAGAGGCCTTTCCTCTTCATGTTGACCTTTAAAGCTAGTTAGGCTCTGATGAGGTTGTAATCATGAACAGTTTCTACTCTAAAACAAAATAAACAGACTCTAGAAATCATTTAGTTACTGCCTCCTATCACACGGAAACTTCTTGAAAAATGAGAGATATGGTTATGAACAAAGAAGTTATTCATAAAATTACTGCACCCCTAGGTCCACTAATCCTCTGAACACTCTTTGTTACCCTCAAAGACATTCTTCTACTTGTTTCGCTTGATTGTTAGTTTGTGGATAATCAACAAATTACATATTTTAGAGCCTGCGACTTTATCCAAAAGTATGACATTATTATGCTAAGCATAAAAAACAAGACACATGCAGAAATAATTCTGACTCTTATCTAAATGTAAAAATATAAAATAGCTACATTTACATAAACAAAGAGAAGGATGTTTGATGCTATTGGCTAGTGGACGAACAGATCTGGTGAGATTTGCCAAAGACTCAAATTACTCAGCTATACAAGATAATAAATCTTTGGAGATCTATTTTGTAAAATGTTTACAGTAGTTAACAGTGTAACCTTGCATAATTACAATTAGATGAGAAGATCTTAGTTCTCCTCTTGCTATGTGCATGTGCATACAGATTACACACAACAAAGGTGATTGTAGAAACAGTGGATGTGTTAATCATACTCTTTGTCCAGATCATTTTATAATCTTTATGTCAGCACATTAATTTATAAACTTCTAAATATAAGTGTTAGTAATTTCTGAAGGAGGTATTCAAATGCAGGGCATTAATACCAATAGATTTCAAAACTAACCTTCCTTAAGAGAGGAAATTTTAATCTTCCTTTATTGATTTTCACCCCCGTGGCATGTAAAGGACAAATCAGTTTTTCAGGCTTTGTTTGCTTCAATTTCAGGAGGATGCGGCACAGACTAATTTTTCTTATTTCTTGGAAATCTTCCTGAAAGGGTGGCAATAATTAATAATGAGAAGTATTTCTCCTATAAAACATCAGTCTTGAAGAAAAATAACAAGCTTTTCTTATCACATTTTCTACTGCACATGAAGCCAGAAGGTTTAACATGAGTTTAATGACATAATGCAATTGGCTACAAGCAAGGAAGATGCTTCTGAGTGTCTCGGAAGAACAAACCTCGACATAGGAAGGTAATGAAGGGATTGTGTTTACTCCTTAAATCATGATCTGTCTTAAGTCCTTAGAGACTCAGTTCTTCACGTGGGTTTTTTCTTCTCTGTAGGGATTGTACATCCTCCATTTCCCATTTACCTTGATTTCTTAAGGGAATTTTATTTTTTGGGTTCTTCTCTCTTTATTCCCACATCTCTAACAGTAATTATCCCTGGAGTGTATGTCCAAATGTCCATGTTTATATATTTGAAAATTTTCAAGGACCATAGTAATTTCCTGCATTATCATTCCTGTGATAACTCCAAAGTACCTTTTAACTTGTGGCATGTACACTAGAGATTTAACCTCTTAACACTGACTGGAAATGTCTACCTGAGAATCTTGCTGAGGAAAATGGTGATGAAGTGAGCGATTTCCAAATTTCTCACAGAAAAAAGTAGATAGAGACTCAAAGGATTTGTGTGTGAATTCTCCAAATTTCCTCATTCCAATATTTCGAAGAATTGCTTAGCATGTCTGTAGAACATACATTTGTAGAATAGTGATGGCTTAAATAACCCTGGATGTTTGAATTTAAACACTGGATGTTTGAATTGTTCACTGGATAATTGGATTTTAAAAAGATATGAGTGGCTGGGTATTTATCTCAACAGCTCAAGTGCCTGCCTGGCACACACAAGGTCCTGAGTTTGATACCCGGTACAAGGTCCACCCTCTAAAACAATATATGAGAAAGTTCGGGTCAAAATAATACTCTGAGTGAGGGAAATAGTCCACCATCAACTGCTATGGCTCGTGTCTAAATGTCTCCACAAAGCCTCATGGCATTTCAGTAGAGAAGGAAGAGTTTGATTGCTCTTTTCCTGGTTCTCTGTCCAGAGGATCCCAGCTTTTTTATTGTCACTATTTACTGATATTCTCCTGTTGCCAATTTCTTCAACTCTAGATCAGGAACACAAAAGGTAAAAAGAAAATATGAGGATCTCATTAGTATATCTTCTTTTGTTTCTTCAGATTCGTAAGAGATTTGCCTTTTATACATTTTAGAGCCTTTTCATCTTTGTTTTATATATAGGTTCCAGGGTTTTTCGTTGTATGTAAAAGGAGAAATATTTAATTTACACTGTATTCTCAGAAGTGTATTTCCTTGCATATTACTTCTTCATTCGTTTGAAAGAAATAAAAAATAGAAATAAAAGATAACAGTTTCAAATCAGACTAATAGGAGAGTAACAATAACCAATACATTGCATATTATTATCTTCACAGTAGTTACTCAGAGTACAAGATACAGGCATGAAATTTCCAAACAGTATTACCACAAACGTTTCTTATCAATGAACTGAGGGAGAGGAGGTAATACCGTTTCTATTTATATGTATTTTTAGGGAGTTACTTTAGAAGGCTGGATATTTTCTGGCAAATGGAATTGCATGTGTATTGCTTTATTTATGTTTATAGCAACTCTGCAATGGAGAGAGTGTCTTTTAGGAGGGAGATGAAGACATTAAAGAGAAATTAAGCAAATGATTCCAGAGTTGTACAACCCAGCATGTGTTGGAATGAATTTATTTAGATTATTCCCTCACCACTTCATTTGAAAGTGTCTTCTTCACCAGTCTTACCAATTTTCAAGGTAAGAATAGCTTTGGAATCTGCCCAAAGCTGTCTTGTAAAAGATATTTAGCTTTTAGCATTCCTTTAGATGATCTCATTAATGGACTTTTCAGCCTGACTCCCATGTATACTGACAGTGAGTTCCCAAAGACTGAGGGCTATAAGACATGCCAAAGGGAACTGTCAGCTGGGAGTCTTAGTGCTTCTTGAACAGAGTGATCTTTGGTGTTGTGTTTAGGTCTTTGATAAGATCATCAGTTCTGTTACTGTTATATGATAAAGCACCTGTTAACAAATTTAAAAAAATTGTGAGGAGAGAAGAAAAATTTTATTAAGTCAGTAAGTTAAATGTTGTAAGTTGTTGTCAATACTTTGATTGAAAAAGAGCTTCAGAGCTGAAAGATTCAGTCTTCTGATATTTGTTTAAGTGTTTAATGAATTTGTCTCAGGGATGAGTGGGGATTCTGGTTCCTAGCTTGCTGACCCTTTCTAAAAATGACCAAATTTAAAGGGAAATATTAGAAGGCGCAGGCTCTATATCTGTGCTTTTTATACAACACTAAGAATAAGCTTTCCCTAAAGAAACTCCTGTTGTATTCTTAAGAAGAAATTCAAGCAGGAGGGGAAAAGACCTGCACTGGCTCCATTCTGGGAGGAAAAGTTTCCCCATATCTGTGTCTTTAATATAATTTTTCAATAAACTGCCTTCCTTAGCCTCTGGCCTCACATCAACTCAACCCTGTTAACAATATATCAGTCAGTGTGTTCTTCTTTGCTATGAACTCACAATTAAATCAGAATACCCAGTAGTTTTAAGAATGATCTTACGAAGCAGAAACAAGTATTTTATTAAAATTCAACACTTGCTTATACATCTTTTATTATTATGTATTGCCATGGAAGTACACATGATACAATCCTGTGCAGATTGCAGTGTAAAGCACTTATGTGATTGGTTTTTGCAGAGTGAGCGGAACTGGCCTCTTCGTTATGATACATCACTACATGGAAAAATAACTGATGGACAAACTGTGGTGATTCAGGCTTGGGTGTTTCCTCAAATGAATTAACGGAACCTTTCATGCCACGAAAATAATTGATAGAAAACACAGTCAATGATAAAATTTTGAACTTTCATGCAAAAATTGGAAATTCTTTTCTTTCACTACTAGCTATGCGGCTTCTCAGTGGTTAAATTTTTCACATGATCTTATCGGTAACATTAACAAATGGGAGCTTTATACATTGTAAATTAAAGGCACAGCTATTTTGAAGTTCTGCAAAATTCAAGTGAACCAATATTTTACAAATAATCAATTAATTATTTTTTGTTCATCTTGGTGAAAGATCTATTCAGATAGTAAGACATACCAATGGATTTTAAAGTGAGAGTAGGAAAGTTTCATGGCTATATTTCAGATCTAATTTGTAGGTAATTTTATTTTTTGGCATTGGGGATTGAATGAAACATGATGCCTTTGCACTGAACTACATCCTGGCCTATATACGCCTATATGTATATCTATATCTATATTTATATCTATACCTATCTATATATTTTATTATTATTTTTAAACAGGTTCTCACGGAATCACTACAGTGTCCACACTGGACTCGAAGGTACAGTGCTGTGCCTGACTCTTCTGAGTGCCTGTTTAAAAATCATGCATTATCACACCCAGCTTGCAATAGTCTTTGTATCTCTTGTTTCCAATTTAACTATGGAGGCAACTTTTGTTCACATATTTTAATCAAAAAACATATCACAAACAATGATATACAAATCCAGGTAGGAAAATACACTTGTCTTCTATAAAACCAGAAACTTTAATTAACACATTTGCAAAGCAAACAAAAGCAACTCTTCTCACTAAATT